TAGCTGCAGTTATGTTTGGTTTGATCCTGATTCCAAGTGGTGGAACCAGGCTTGGCAGTTTAGGAAATAAGTTTTCATAGAGCGGGTTGAAAACACAATTGTATGCTGGATTGGGCTCATTTGAACGTAATTTAGTGATACACTGCAGTGAGAGTTTAATGCGGCGTTGTTCAAGGGAAGGTTCATTGGCCTCCGCATATAGACTGTCTACCGGAGAGGTCCAAATACTAAACATGTTGCATTAATGAGAGTGGTTATTTATATATAATGTAAAACAAATACTACAATTTCGTTTTCGGACTATGTCATCATGCCAGTGCTTAAGTAATTTGCACTTTCAGCGGATACATCTGGCGTATTGGACGACAAATTTAAGAAATGATTGTGCTGTTTTGAATCTCCAAATTTAAAAGGACAATGATCCTATCTTTTCCGTGGTATAGTTGCGTTATGGAGGACAGTAAACGTGCAGAGGTTGATCCATTGTTTCGTAAAGGGTGGAGAGAGGGGAAACGCGAACATTGAACCACAAACGCATGGTACATTCAATAGTTTTGCATATGGACACCAATTGTAGCCTTCGTCGGAATCAACTCGGTACATATACTCCTATATGTAATACACCTATATATACTTCTAGAACACAGAAAGAAATAACATATAATGGTAACACACACTCACACACACAAACGCACGCGCGCGCGAAACGTTACCAAATTCCTGTACATTTGTAGTATCATGTCGTATCTCTCAAACAGTTCTGCAAATATAAGAAACAAATAGCTTTTGAAGCACATTCAAGGCAGTAAGAAGGTAACGATATACTTTATGTTAAAAGCGAGTGTTTGACATTGTTTTGACGAATCCCTCTTTATCTGGAATGAAATCGTTCACATTATAAATAGTTCAGCAACAGTGAGTATTGACTCTGAAACAGGTAATGAATCCAGTTAATCGATCGTATGTTAATAAATCCCCCTCTTCGGGTACGGTGATAGGCGATCAACGAGCCTATCCAATCGATTCAAGAAGTCGCCCCTTGATTACAAAATAGGGTTCTGTGCACCTAGTCCAAACTAGGACTTCCATTGGTCTTCAATTTGTAACAGAAAACCCATTTCAGTGATCATATTAAAATGTTAGTTTGTATCCTAAACTGATAACATGTGATATGTATTTACACGTATGTACGTCTGCAAACAACTGGAACCATATGAAGCGGTAATGTTCACCAGAATGCATAACATGTTTTGCTATCACAATTAAATAACAACGCTTCTCTCTGTACTCTCCACCTGAGAAGATGGTGTTTTTCAACCTTTTACTATATCCATAACCTCTGCAAACCATACCTCCCTGTACTCGTGAAGCGTGAAGTTACGTCTTGAATGAATGGCTGCACATGAGGCCCAATGATCTCACCCCTGTATCGCAGACCTGTCAGATTGCCAGACTGGCATGAGATGTGATGTTCCCCCATACCGTAACGCTGATACCCCAAACTGTCGACGTTAAACAACGTAAGCGCGAGCATACCGTTCACCTCGTCGTCTGTACACCCTTGCCCTGCCATCTGAGCTGTCCAGATGAAATCTCGACTGGTCAGTGAAGAACACACCATCCCAGTATTGTTACACGTACCGTAGATGATGTCTGCACAGGGCAAGACGTGCTATCGGTGACGTTGGAACGTATGGACGTATTGAAGGCCGTATTGAATGCCGTCGGGTTCGGATGTTGTGCTTTCTCAGTCTGTTCCGTACAGCCCTGGAACTGTTTGGACGTAGACCAGGAATGGTCCGAGCGGTCAAACTAGCAGTTTCAAATCGATGCCCTAGATGGGTCAGTCGAATGTGGTTGTCTTGCTGACGTGACGTCACGCGTGGACGGCCGGTCCGCCAAATCTCTCGAGTTCCCTGTATGCTGAACACGTCTCCACGAAGATGAGATCGTGTTTCGATGGACATCAAAATGTCTGGCCACTTCATTTTGGTCCATTCCTGTCTCTAGCATACCAACGGCGGGGTGACGCTGAATTTCTGTAAGCCGTGTTCTGTCAGGTTTGAAATTAACGTGTTTTCCACAACATTCAGAACCTAGAGAATAATCTTCATTGATAATAACTCTTCAATTTTTAATATCAGATGCGTGAACCTCGTTTGCCAAGAAGTTCACTGTGAACAAAGTGCACGTGCCACGCGCGATACGTGACATCAAATTTCATGCAAAGTACTTTTCTACGTGTTTATTTGGGGCCTTTTTTTATAACTATGTTATGCAGAGTTACTTTTTTTCCTTTAGTATATATGTTTGTTCCCCTTGGGAATGCCATTGAATGCACATGTTACAGCTTTAGATAATTCGTAAGATCCATCCTTGGCGACAAACGTGATGTGTTTTCAGCGTTAGTGACGACATCTCCACCAAAGGCATAACCTCCATTACAACTACCTTGCGGGATCCACTAGAACCCGATGGTGGCCTCCACGGTAGCATAATCAGCACTTCTGGGTTCCGCCACAGTTATGTACGGAGGAGAACAAGGCTTAACCGACGAGCGTTGTCTTATTCGATTTACCTTTCTTTTGACGACAAAAACGATGATGATGGCGACGACGACGATAATAACGAGGCTGACAACTACAGCAGCAATAATGATTGAGTTGAGGCTGTGGCTCAGGGCGTTTTAAGTTATAGTTTATGTATACGCCGTAAATTAGATCCCAAAGTAACATGAAATGTGCACTTGGAGAAGGCTTATATCACGAATCTATGACTGTTAAAAGCCACAATAAATTATTATCAATCCCACGATTGCAATACTCTGGAATGCGTACGAGGTATAAATAAATGTTTACTCAGCTGCAACCAGGCCGTCATATGAAACATTTGGGACACGCAACCGTGTTATAGGCATATAGTGGATCGAAGGAAGACAAGAGATTGTGATGAGAGCAAAGTATTAAAATATGCAGACTCTGCAGTTACGTCCTGAAAATACATTTTAGAACTGACATACGCATACGCACTGAAACGACAGCGTTGTTCCCTAATGTAGCTGGGATATGTTGATTCGGATATCTGTGATACTCATACACAATGAATACATTCACAACATGTCAATACACTTGAACAATAGTGTTTATGGAAACAGCGAAATAAACATGGACTATATGTATAGTTTATTGTATCTAGCTTTACAGATGTCCTGGTCGGTGTGTAACTGGCGTATTGATGACATTCAGTAGGAGGTTGTATCGATAGTTCCAGTCGATTATTCAAGCATGGTACATTCAGTACAGATTCAAGGCATAATGTAAGGAAGTACACTTCCGAAGGAATACATTTACCAATTAACAAACCAAACAGTAAAGTGTGTTCAGTCCGCAACCATTACTGTGTTTTGCAAGGGTTATAGATATACACATATGTTTGTGGTTTTAGTATCACACATTAAAGAAGGGTAAATGACTCACCTGTGATGGTGTAACCGAACTCAATAACAGTGAGATTCCAGTGCTCGTCTTAGCAGTTGAATACCAGCCTTACACCTATGTAAAGGTTTGTGTTTCGGTCACTTTAAAGGTTTAAAGGTTACTGAGACCGAGACGTTCAGTAATTGTGTGACATCCCGAGTCTGAGGTGTGAAGTTTGAATCTACAAAACAATTAGATTATCACAGATATAAATTAGTAATTAATTCTAACTCATCTTAACTATACATGACAATACAATATAAGAACAGGCTATAGATTGCCAACATCTGACGGTAGATCACCATACTAGGACCATGGAGACTTACAGTTCATTTGCTTCCTGCATGGATCCTAGCTGGATTTACACCATCACTTCAGACAATCTAGACATAAATTAAAATAACATACATACTACGGTTGAAAATAGTAGTATGTTTAAATTTACTTCAATTGTTTTGGGACTTAAGTACCCTCTCAGGAGGACAACGTTACACCGCAGATCCGGGTTCGATTCCTCACATATAGGTACAATGTATGAAGCCCATTTCTGGTGTCCCGCGCCGTGATATTGCTGCAATATTCCTGAAAACGCCGTAAGGCCATGCTCATTCAACTCACTACTTCAAAAGATATCAAAATGCGGCACTTGTAACCGTGATGGTCGCTCGGTGTAACATGTTTATACAAGGACTGGTCGGCTCGGAGTCAGCATATTGTGTTTGAGAGGGGTATGCAAGTTCAACTGCGGAATGCTATCTAGATGGCCAGCGCTTTAAAATACTGGATCGGTTTAATCTTCAGCATGCTTGTTGAAGGAAGTGAAAACGAGATGGTGTGCTCAGACTTACTGCATGTCTTTCTTTCCAAACTGCATAGACAGTGGCTGATGCCATCAGTCGCTGGTTTAATTCGCATCAGATATTTACAAACGGTGTGACTTAAACTCTTAACTCACTCACTCACTCTATATTTACACTCGGCCGAAACATTGCCAACCTTGGGAATAAGACCGGCGTTCTGGCTTAAATTTCCTTCTTTTGATTGGGGGCGGTGGGGTAGCCTTGTACTTAAAGCGCTTGCTCTCGTCACACCGAAGGCCCGGATTCGAATTCCCACATGGGTACAATGTGTGAAGCCCATTTCTGGTGTCCTCAAACGTGATATTGTTGGAATATTGCCAAAAGCGTCGCACAACTAAACTCACTCACTCATTCACTTCTTTTGATTCTGCTAGTTCGAGTTATAATTCAGATGCAAAAGAAGACAAATCACAAATATATCTAAAACTCACTCCCTGACAGAGTTAAATGTTTTTGCCAAATGCCTGGTATAAGAGGATGCAAGTGTTTTATCAGACTACGAAACATTGAACCTATGGGCCAATTCTTTCCCGTACGACGTTACAGGGAGTCGCAGATGGCACATTTCTCATCATATTTGCTCTGAAAGCGGCCAAACAGTGTTCGCTGTACACACCACCACCAAACGTCAGTAGTCTTTTCCTATTTGAATTATATGATAATGCTCAAGTTTTACTTATTATTTTAACAGTCTAAGACTATGTTTAATGTTTCAGAGACACCCACATGCAGCATCACCAGTAAGGAGGACACTGATGTACTTGTCCAGTATCAGGACCTGGCCCTTACAGTGGACGTACGAGACTACTACTGCTCCACCGCCAACAACGTCTCCCTCCAGACCGGGGATGTGACAACCCTGCTGATGGAAGCTGACTCTGTACCAAATGTCTCTGACAACACTTCATCAGTAACATTAAATGTGACGGACTCCCATCTGGGTACAGTAGGGCTGGCGTTTACATGCTACAACAGTCAGCGGGATCTTTCGTGTGGCGGTGTGAATAAACTCGGTTAGTGTTTCGGTATCCCAATGAAGCAAGCATATTACCGTTGGTGTTGATAGAAGTAAAATACCACACATTTGTTTTATTACACATTGGATGGCAAGCATATAGTTCGGAAAATGGCAGGACAATTTCCACATGCCTCGTCAACCCAGAAGGCTTCAGTGGTTATACTTAACACAGACGATGAGACCTAATAGGATGATATAACGTGTGAACGTCAAAAATAGTATTTTGCTGATGATGTAAGCAGTTCATATCTATGCTTTCTTTTCATAAATTGGCTTACTCATGGCTGTTATCACCCAGGAGGTGCTGCGATATTTACATCCTCGAAACAACATCTTCGCAACAATATGTCTTCAATAATACTGTTTTCGTCTCTCCATGAAGTCCTTTGTTTTAACAGCTCCAAGGACACCAACATGCGACATCACCAGTGACAAGGACACAGAGACGCTTACCCTACAAGAGGAAGTGACACTGACCGTGAACATTACTGCGTATTACGACATACGAGGCTCCTACTGTTCTGCCGAATCAAACTTCACACTGCAGACCGGGGATGTCAAACAAATTCTAAATGTTGGTGATCAAGGTCTTCAACCAGTAACCTTTAATGTGACCAAAACACACCTGGGTGGTGTAAGGCTGGTATTCAACTGTCAAGACGACCACCGGAATCTCAGCTGCGATGGTGTAACCGAACTCAATAACAGTGAGTCATTTGTCGTTCTTGAGTGAGATATCCTAAAACCACAAACACATGATGTGTATAACTATGCCTCCTGCTAAGACACAATAATGGTTATATGTCCTGAGATCCTGTCATGTGCTGATAACAGTTCGCTATTTGGTTTGTTCTTAATTGTTAAATGTGTTCCATCTTAAGTGTACTCTTACATAATATCCTGAATCGAAGTGCCAAATTTGCCACTCATGAATAATCAACTGTAACTATCGATACAACAACCCCTTCTGAAAATGTCATTCCATACGCCAATGGTACATCGATCAAGATATTGGTAAAGCCCTAAAACAAATACATAGTCCATTTATAGTTCGTCGTTCCTATATACACTATTGTGCAGGTGTATTGAGTCATTTTGGCGTATTGTGAGTGAGTGAGTGAGTGGGTTTAGCTTTACTCCGCATGTAGCAATATCCCAGCCATGTCATTGCGGATGACACCAGAGATTTACTGATCGTGCCCATTGTGTATGATAAACATGACTGTATGGTATTTTAGAGTAGTATATATCATTCACATGCGCAGGTAAATATTACGTTTATGTGAATGATATAAACCATTCTTCAATACCATACTGTTATTTTATTCATTCACATATCAAAAGTATTTTAGGCTCAAAACTGTTTGATAGCCCCTCGTATTGTGAATGTATTCACTGAGTAACACAAAAATCCGACTCAACATATCCCCTCAACACTGGGAACATCGCTGTCTGTTTCAGTGTGGATGTGTATATTTGTTCTCAAGTGTATTTCCAGGTCGTGACTGTAATCAAAACAATTTAGTTTCAAATTTAATATCAGAAGTTACCCATTTACGAAACAACTGCATGTTTTATTACTGTGCAGTTATCACAATATCCTGTCTTCTTTCCATCCACTATACGCCTTTAAGGCGGCTGCGTGTCCCAATTCCTGCATATGCGGCGGGTTACGGTCGGGTGGCGGCTGGGTGGCAGTTATTTATACTTCGTAAACATTCACGTGTGTAGCAATCGTCGTATTGATCATATTGTACTATTGCATTTAACAACCATTATAAGCCTTCTCCAGGTGCATGCTGCTAAGGCAGCAATAAACAAATCTGTAACACCACTTCTTATTCCATACTCTGATTATAAAGCTATCATCAGATCGTATATCTGATCATATGTCTGAAACATTGCCGATGTGACGCTAAATATTGCTCACTCACTCACTCACTCTCCAGATGCACATTTCATCTTACCTTGGGATGTAATTTAATGCATATATCTAACTATAGCTCGAAACTCCCCTATGTTACAGAAATGAAAGCACGTGATGAAGTAGCCACATCCTCAATTCCAATCATCATTACTGCTGTCGTTGTCAGCCTCGTTTCAATCGTCATCATCGTTTTTGTCGTCAAAAGAAAGGTAAATCGAATAAAACAACGCTCGTCAGTTAAGTCTTGTTCTCCTCCGTGCATAACTGTGGGGTAACCCGTCAGTGCTGCATATGCTACCGTGGAGGTGAATAACTCCATACCACCAGCATCGGGTCCAGGTGGATACCGCAAGGTAGTTGTGATCGATGCAGAAGGCTATGCCTGTGCCGGAGACGTCGTCACTAACGCCGAAAACATATCTCCTTCGCCGCCAAGTGATGAATCTGACGAAGAATCTGCAGCATCCGCAGGCATGCCTAAGAAGGAGATAGCTGTTATTGTACAAAAGATTGTCCCCCAAGATGATCAGACATGTATTAATGAACTGTATACCTCTGTAAAAAATCCGAGGGATACGACACAATGTTCCAGAAACATTTTTTAAAATGTTTTATTCATGTGATTTTGTATGGTTCCAGAAATGTTTTGGAAACATTTTCAAAAACGTTTAACTATAAGGTTTTTAAAATGTTTTCCTGAAATGTTTTTTCGAGATGTTTTGGAAATGTTTTAAAAAATGTTTTATTCATGTGATTTTGTATGGTTCCAGAAATGTTTTAGAAACATTTTCAAAAACGTTTAACTATAAGGTTTTTAAAATGTTTTCCTGAAATGTTTTTTCGAGATGTTTTGGAAATGTTGAAAAAAAATGTTTTATTCACGTGATTTTGTATGGTTCCAGAAACGTTTCAGCAATGTTTTCTCCAACATTTAGTGATTATATTCCATAAAGGTTTTCTGAAAACGTTTTATAGATGTGATTTTGTATGGTTCTGGAAACGTTTTAATAACATTTCCTTTGAACATATAGTTTTAACTTTTCAAACATATAGAATAGCCCTGATAACAATTAGGTGGTGTTTTGTTTAAAACGTAAACCACTGGAACAAAACGTAGAACACTAACAGTTAACAATGTACAGAATATGTCTGTGGCAAATAGTTACACATATACATAGGGGCGTGTCTCACTTAGAAACAGCGTTAGAAAGACATATAGATGTCTAGATTCAACCCTTGTACTATATAATAGGGTTGGGTCTATACACCTATATGTCTTTCTAATGCTGTTTATAAGCGACACATGTCCCTATGGACATATATAGTTAATCTTTACAAGGACACCAAAACAGATAAAAGAATGGCAGACTTGTAATCAACAATTTTATTAATAATTCTGGAAACGTGTACACTTTTTCAGTTTGTTTCATTATCTTCTTCTTTGCTTTTGCAGTCATCCATATTTCTGAAATATAGAAAACTTTCAATAATCTTAAGCAGGTACTTGAAATGTGATATTTACCCAAACCAAGTGACACTAACCAGGAGACTAAGTTTTCTACCACGTTTGTACAGACACGTGTTTGGTGGACATGAACACACTATTGGAATGTAATGATTGATATGATAATATCCAGAATCATGCTGAATACCAAAGATGTAGCAAGCACAGAATATCACTTACTGGTCAAAGGCTGGGTACAAGTACAAATCAAATCTTGCAATAAAAAGCCCCATAGACAATGGTATTTAACAGCTGTACTTACATAATTCACAGCTCCTGGATTATTTGATGTGTTCCTCCATAAATCCATCATGTGTAACAGTGTTTTGTATATCCTGGAATGCTTGTCTCATATTCGCCCTTGCTGCAATGAAAATAACAATGTTCCACATCATCACAAGTTATAAATTGAACCGTTTTCCATAAAGCATATAAAGTAGATCAAGTTAGTCTAAAGCTGAAACATACTATGTAATTGCCTCAAGTTTTTGGTGGGTGCCCATTTACAACAAACTTGGAATACTGGCGAGCGTTTCTAGCCCAGAATCCAAACTGGAATTGATTTATTACACATCTTTTGTAACTAGCTACATGATTCAAGCCTTACACGATTTCGTTGCGAGCACTGTAACCAGATTCTCCAGTTTTCGATCACGATGTTTTCGGTTTCTCATATTCGCCCTTGCTGCAATGAAAATAACAATGTTCCACATTATCACAAGTTATAAATTGAACCGTTTTCCATAAAGCATATAAAGTAGATCAAGAACAAGAGAGGATATTTCGCCAGGGCAGCGAAAGCAGTCACACTTGCTTTTCGCAAGTCTTCGCGCAACTTGTCTGACGACAAGTGGTGACGCTTCAAGACAAATGAATCGTTTCGAGGATCGACTTCACAGCCATGATAGTGACACATCCTCAAGTGGCGGACTACCTTTGTCACCTAGACAAAGGAAGCGGGTAAAAGGGTCAACACCCTCAACATACCTAGCGGCATTGAGCTCAGTTATCGCCATGAGGACGAGTGCAACTGACAAAAGTACTTACTACGCCCTTTTAATTGGAGGACCAACATCAGAGATGTGAAACCATTATAGAGAACATCATTCGAGTTCTTGACGCAGAAGCCGCTGTTCCTGATAACCATAGTAACAGCAGCAAGGATGTCGGAAATACATGCTCTGAACTTCGAGGGAACACGATCTGATGAAAATCAAAACATCCTGCATTTGGGACTGAGATGGACTTCATAGCAAAGAATCAACTGCCAGGTCATCCAGACAGACAGTTCCACGTCCCAACACTATCATCAGTCCTTGGACCACAGGATACGCAGGTCCTATCCTTGTACCCAGTGAGAGCATTGAAAGTCTACCAACCAAGATCCAAGTCCAGGTGACGGAAATTCAAGTGTCTTTTCGTCTCGATATGGACAGCGACATAGACGGAGGTCTGCCGCACTAAGATATCAAGCTGGATCAGAACTGTCATACTACGGGCCTACAAAGCAGCAGGACTTGATCCTCCAAGAGTCTCCAACCCACATGAAGTTAGAGCTCTGGCGTCAACGCTCGCTCTACATGGGAATCGCTCTATCAGAACGATAATGGAGGGCTGCTTCTGGACATGGGACAGGATGTTTGCCAACCACTACCTGAAGGACATCGCCACTGAGGACGGCTCTGGCATTCACCATTTCGGCCCACTTGTAGCACAACAATTGACAGTCCCACAAAGGCGCTGGAACGGAGTCTCGCCCTTTTATCACATGACTTACAAAGCCTACTCTCAGCAGAGTTTTGCTTAAGACTATATGCACGTCTAGGACAGACTAGCATAAGTAATATGACCCAGTACTTGTAAGGTTACTTGTACAGGAATGGGTCGCTTCTCCACTTGGTGCTTGCATCAAGAGATGGAGTCGCAAAGTCCACATAAAATGTTAACAGAAGAAAGGACCAAAAGTTAACTATTGTAGTCCCCCATCTAAAGGCAGCTGGAAGGACAGGGTCGCAGCAGCAGCAGAGATTAGCAGTTAAATACAGTGCCAACACGAAGTTCCCATAGGGGGGTATAGAGACGTAAATCACTACATGAAATCCAAAGTAACTTGCCCACCGCCTTTTCAGTCGGATTCTACAAGCAAAAGAGCATGAGTCAGGATAAGGAAAAATATGTAATTTTCTGAATAAAATTGATATTTTATACTTATCCTGACTTATGAGGTAAGCCCACCCAGCCTCCCCACTAGACACTTTGGATTTCCCTGCAAATTCAAGTGTCGGGCTCATAATCAGGAGAGAGTGAAGCATGTGGGGACGGTGGCGCCACAGTTTCCCGCCTAAACAGCTGGAGAGATAACTCTTGGGATGAGTGATTTTACGTCTGTTCTTTATTGAAGGGAGCTTCAATAGGAGATACAAGTATTCCACTAACGTTCGCAAGAGGAAGGAGACAAGCATTAAGCATGAGTCAGGATAAGTATAAAATATCAATTTTATTCAGAAAATTACATATTTCTGAACTATAATGACTCACAACAACAATTGATGATGTTTTCACAAAAATGCATTGAAATGTTCAGAAATGATAAATAAAAGTATTATCTTGAAACTTTACCTGATAAATGGCTCATTTTTCTAAAAACTTGTTACCTCTTGGAATCTATGACTTCTAAATATATGACTTGTAACAACAAGTAAGACCTGCATGGTTGTGTTGCAATTACCTTTCTGAAAGTGATGCTAACAGCTGAGGTGCAACAAAATGCCTGTAGAAGTATTCAAGTTTATGAACCATTTGGCTGAAATATTCTCTGTTGAAAGGTACAGTGACTACATGGATACCACGAGTGGTGAAAATTATAAGGTCACACTGTTGAAGTTCATAAATACCAAGCTGGCCTTGAATTTGGGCATAATATTCTGATTGCTCTGATAAGTGCCATACACCAGCAGTCAGTACACAGCCCTTTTCCTTGGCAGCATCTTTGGGTGATTTCAGTCTCAAGGAATGGGGGCACTTGATCTCAAGCAATTTGGGTGCATGCTTCTCCTTGCAGGTGCAGTTGACAATACCATGTGTGGAACATCCAAGATATGGCTTATGAGAACAAAACATAAGACCAGGAACAGTTACTTTAAGATGACAATGTTTTTTTCTCTCCACTCTGGCATACATTGACCTTGCAACACTTTCTTTCTTCCTACCCCACTCAAGGGGACGCAGACCCTCTGGGGGTGGTGGAGCGATGCCCATTACACAATCAATTGCTGCTGTAAGATCTGTGGTAGGATTAGTGAGAAATGTGTTAGTTCTTGACAGGATGCGTTGGAATGTGGAAACAGTAATGACACCATTTCTCATTTCATGCCATGTTGGGTTGTCATGCTGACCTGGGCCCAATTGCACAGAGCAATCTTAGTTACAATCAATCATAGGCCCCTACAATCAACTTTACAATCGCCATACAATTGCCCTAATCCACTTGCACAAAGCCGATCTTAGAGCGATTGTAAGACCGCGTGGATTTAAGATCGCGATCTTAGCTAAGACTGAACTCTTCAGCGGTGGAGGTAAGAAAACACATGAGTCATGCGTCATTGGCTACGATGTAGAATTACCTCCCTTGTCGTATCGGCAGACGACACATTGTTGCAACTTGTCGAAATGTCAACAGAGAAGGGGGTGCGCCGCAGTAATTTTACTGAACAAGAGCTATCCGTGTTGACGGATGAAGTTACACGCAGTAATGATGTTTTGTTCGCCCCATTCTCCCCAATAGTGACGAGTAAGCGAAAGGCGGACATGTGGGAAAACATAGCCGACAAGTAAGTCCAATAGTAAGAACAATCTACATTTGTAAATCAACTACTAAATGCATCGATTATATATACAAATAGGAACTAGAACATTTCTGTATACCATTTAGTAGATTGATCGTATTTCTTTTGTATAGTAGGATATGTTTTTCCTGAAAGCTGGCATTCATCTTTAATTGAAGAGCCTAACACAGTATTCGTTCTCACCACATTGCCGCGTCTCCACAGCTATGTTTACGTTTTTAAAGGGTCACTGCTGTCAGCTCGACAAGGCGTAGTGGCGCACATGTTAGGAAGAAGTGGAACGAACTGAAGTAAGTTAGAATGAGATCTGTATAATGTAAGATTTATACAGGAGTGTACTTTTGTTGGTCCCTGCATGAGATAATACATGTATGTGGGATAAATAATAATAAAAATGACAATTTATGTAGCACTAAATCCAGCCACTAAGTGGGTGCTCCAAGATCCAGACATTAATATTGTAATTTTTGCCTGAGAAACATGATGTCATAAAATGTTGTTTAATCCATGCTTCCTTCAAAATACATAGGTTTGAGTTTTATGTTGATGTAAATACATGTGTATTTGTACTTTACATGATAGTGTCAAGTTCATTTTATATGCAGATGCCAAATAAGAAAAAAGGCACAAACAACAAAGAGGGAACTGGTGAAAACAGGAGGAGGCCCTGCTCCAACTCCTCTCTCAGATTTGGAGTCTAAGGTACATGCACAACTGTGTATACATGTGTATGATCCAAGCAGAGTGTATTAGAATTGAAGCATTTTCCAGTATTAATATAATCACAACAGTGCAAATATTTCAAAGCAAGAAAAATGCTGCTGGTGATAATAATATCATGTGTTTTAAGCTTCATATCTCAATTACAAATAAAAAAAAATAACCTTGGGTCATGAATCCTGATATATTTTCAGATACATTTGTATGTCACATTACCTTTAAATCTTATTTTAGGTTATCTGCTTGATACCTGCCTGCCAAATAGATGGCATTCCTGGGCCCACTTGCACAGAACGATCTTAGCGCTACAATTATTGTAAATCCTTAAGATCACGATCTTAGGCTTCGGCTACAATCGCCATCCACTTGCACAAAGCAATTGTAGGCTAAGATCATTGTAAGTTACAATCGAAACCTACAATTGCTCCGGACCAATTGTAGAGGTCTTACAATCGACCAAGATGGCGAGTACAGTTCTATTTTGTAAAGAATACGACAGATTTTTAAGGAGAGAACGGGTTTTCAGAGACAGAACTAATCAGCTCGACATTCTGAGTGACGAGATACTGTATGCTCGATACAGAATGCCTCGTTTGTCGCTGTTCCAGTTACTACACAAAGTACGTCCATTAATCGAGCACCCCACAAAAAGATCACATGCCCTCACCCCAGAGACACAGTTTCTTTTAACAATGCGCTTTTTAAGTAAGGGTGGCTTTTTGCTCGAAATGGGCGATCTCCACGGAGTACACCAGTCCAGTGTATCGAGGTGTTTGCATAGAACAGTGTCTGCAATGAGCCGTATGCTCGACAACATAAACTTTCCTGATCCAGCGTCCTTTCGGCACATTATGTCCGATTTCCACAAAATCGCTGATATGCCCCGAGTGATTGGTGCCATTGATGGCACACTTAAACCTATCAAAAGACCAAGCGGTGACGATGAATCGGCGTACGTGTGCAGGAAGGGGTTCCACGCCATCAATGTACAAGCCGTTTGTGATTCAAGCCTTAGGTAAGAACACATTATTATTGAAACAAAATGACGACAAATACGTCTTTTGCTTGCACTTGTTATCAAATGATACCACTAAAGCGTATGTGCATAAAAATGGGCCATCATGCTTACTTTATTAGGGTGTATTGCACAGCTGATCAGTGTTTACCTTGGGATTGACCAATCACAGGTCAGGGGCCTTCAATGGGTTACAAGAAGAGGCACAATTGGGGATGAATAAGGTTTCAGCGTACCAAGATTTTGATGAATAAAGTTACTAAAGTCATTTCTTATGTCTATGACATGACTATAGTGATTTCTCTGGAAAATAACAAAACGTCACAACTCGATTGGTCGAACAATATAAGTTTTATGCTGCATTTTGGTAATTAAAAACATCACACCAGGAGTCTGTAATGAATTTATTTTGTTTATTTTGAGATACAGTAATCTCATTACAATATGTTTGAATTGAATATAACAAGATGAATAGGTAAACATATTTGCAATCAATTGTAAAATACTATTATAGATACACACATACATTTGTATGTCACATTTCCTTTAAATCTTATTTTAGGTTATCTGCTTGATACCTGCCTGCCAAATAGATGGCATTCCTGGTGGAGTTGAAAGTGGTTTGTGTGCCAGTAAGTGCAAAACATGTTATTCTCATTTGAAAGTACAAATTGATATTTACATAAAATGGGTACTGGCAATATCAGAATCAAATAAGATACATATAATGAAAGTTGTGAAGTTTTACTATGTACTCTTTGTGAAGAACATGTTCAACTTTTATTCAGATGAGATGTGCTTCGACACACAAGATCTTGATGTAAGCATGGCAAGCGAGCTTGAAAGTTCAAGATCAATTACAGCTTTGCCCACAGGTGAATATGTTCAGTGGTATACATTGACATTGTTCAATAATAACATGTAAGTGATAGTTGAATTAATCAAATATCAGTTATTGATTCATATTAATGTACAAAAAGTAGTCAATTACTGGTGATCAAAGTTACTTATGTCTAAACAAACTTGCAAAGTTGGAAAGAAAAGAAATTCAGTTCATACACATTTCAAAACAATTTGTATATAAAGTGTACCTTACAGAATACTTAATGATATAATGATTGTCTCTTCATTTTCTAGAAGACACGCAGAAGTCTGCTATCAAAAAACCTACCAGTACTACACGTAAGCATATGTCAAATATGTTAATGGTACATTTCTCATAATATTGTATCAATTATTTTATGAATAATTTAATTGTAGTATTCATTGTAAACAATATTAAAGGATAATGTGCTGCATTGGATGTATTATGCTTACATGTAATTAACTGGACTGTTACTTTCCTGTACTTAATAGTGACCAAGTTCAAATCTCCAAAGCTACAAACAGTAGTCGAGCTGGAGAGGGAGAAGCTGGAGGTGCTGCATCAAATCCAACGTGATGGAAGTGATAGGCTAGACATTGAGAGGAAAAGATTGGCTGTTGAGGAGAGAAGACAGGCTGTCGAAGAAAAGAGACTGGCTCTCGATGAGGAAATTTTGAGTTTGCTAAGAAGTAAATCTATAAGTTCTCCTTTCAGCCTGTCCCCCATGATAAAATTCACATAGATTGCACTTGTATTAAATATAATTTATGACATTTTCATTCATAGGGAATTGCTAACTGTATCTTTTAAGAAATAACATCATAATCAAGTGGTTTTAGATGATTTGGACACAGTCAAATTCACTGTCATGTATACAATGAAAATTTAGAAACATGAATTATTGAATGTAGGATTTAGGAAAATGTATTCTGAATTAATTCCTTCCTCATCCTGTGGCCATCATTCAGAGGTCCCTGATAAACATAGTCAATTTCTGGGGCACTTTCCTCTTCAAGAGCAGGGGGATTGTCCAGCCTTGAATCTATGCAGAAATTATGCAGCTTAAATGCTAACATAATAATCTGGGCACATTTTGTGGGGGTAAATTGAAGGCACCCTGATGACTTGTGTAAGCATCTGAAAATAATTCATGTATGGTAATTAATGCATTACTTTCTAACTATTGAATTCAGATATTAAAAGACATTACAAAGAAGGGGATTTTTAGTATTTATATTAACCATACATTAATTTTTTATGTTGTCTTAGTAATAACATATAATTTTAATTGTCTCTTCATGTATCATATGAGGTAGCTTAATGAGTCTCAAAGTCTCATTGTTTGAAAGACATCGAAACATCTAGATTTACTAAATCTTTTCAGACAAGCTTAGGAATTTTTTATATTTGTTTCCCAAAATTCCTCACCTGAACCTTGATTTCAGAACACCAAATGCCCTTTCAATGGTGTTTCTAGTCTTCATGTGGGCTCCATTATATCTTTCTTCTGGCCTTGTCTGAGGATTACCTATTGGTGTTAGGAGCCAGGGCCTGCATGCATATCTACATAAAGATAAGATACAGTCAATATATTTTTCATTTAGGTATTAATGTCTTTTTGAAATCTGTTTCATATGTGCAGTTACTTAGTGAAATAAGTAACCTTCTTGTGACTTCTAGGCTTGACACTGATGTGACATGTGTATTTGGTGGTTGTGGCATTCGTAAATATTTATAATTTTAAATAATAAAAATTAAACAAACCCTGAATCTCCCAAAAGCCATCCATCTGGAGGAGAGGACTCGAACGACTGTCCCAACAGGCTGTTGCTAAGGATCATTGAGTCATGACTCGCCCCAGGCCACCTTGCAACAACATTGCTGAACCTGAAGGAAATAATGGAGGATGTACTTAGTTTTATGAACATCACTAATAACATTACTATAAGTATACACTGCTTAACATAATTATATCTCACTCAATGCTAAGAAAATGAAGAAAATGAAGAGACAATCATTATATCATTAAGTATTCTGTAAGGTACACTTTATATACAAATTGTTTTGAAATGTGTATGAACTGAATTTCTTTTCTTTCCAACTTTGCAAGTTTGTTTAGACATAAGTAACTTTGATCAGCAGTAATTGACTACTTTTTGTACATTAATATGAATCAATAACTAAGAAAATGCTAAGAAAATGAAGAAAATGAAGAGACAATCATTATATCATTAAGTATTCTGTAAGGTACACTTTATATACAAATTGTTTTGAAATGTGTATGAACTGAATTTCTTTTCTTTCCAACTTTGCAAGTTTGTTTAGACATAAGTAACTTTGATCAGCAGTAATTGACTACTTTTTGTACATTAATATGAATCAATAACTGATATTTGATTAATTCAACTATCACTTACATGTTATTATTGAACAATGTCAATGTATACCACTGAACATATTCACCTGTGGGCAAAGCTGTAATTGATCTTGAACTTTCAAGCTCGCTTGCCATGCTTACATCAAGATCTTGTGTGTCGAAGCACATCTCATCTGAATAAAAGTTGAACATGTTCTTCACAAAGAGTACATAGTAAAACTTCACAACTTTCATTATATGTATCTTATTTGATTCTGATATTGCCAGTACCCATTTTATGTAAATATCAATTTGTACTTTCAAATGAGAATAACATGTTTTGCACTTACTGGCACACAAACCACTTTCAACTCCACCAGGAATGCCATCTATTTGGCAGGCAGGTATCAAGCAGATAACCTAAAATAAGATTTAAAGGAAATGTGACATACAAATGTATGTGTGTATCTATAATAGTATTTTACAATTGATTGCAAATATGTTTACCTATTCATCTTGTTATATTCAATTCAAACATATTGTAATGAGATTACTGTATCTCAAAATAAACAAAATAAATTCATTACAGACTCCTGGTGTGATGTTTTTAATTACCAAAATGCAGCATAAAACTTATACTGTTCATTTTACAGGCGCTTCAAAATATTTCGGTCTCCCATTATATATAGTGAAATAGAGTCATAAACTGAGAAATACATGAACGCAATCGAGTTGTGAAGTTTTGTTATTTTCCAGAGAAATCATTATAGTCATGTCATAGACATAAGCAATGACTTTAGTAACTTTATTCATCAAAATACACATACGCTTTAGTGGTATCATTTGATAACAAGTGCAAGCAAAAGACGTATTTGTCGTCATTTTGTTTCAATAATAATGTGTTCTTACCTAAGGCTTGAATCACAAACGGCTTGTACATTGATGGCGTGGAACCCCTTCCTGCACACGTACGCCGATTCATCGTCACCGCTTGGTCTTTTGATAGGTTTAAGTGTGCCATCAATGGCACCAATCACTCGGGGCATATCAGCGATTTTGTGGAAATCGGACATAATGTGCCGAAAGGACGCTGGATCAGGAAAGTTTATGTTGTCGAGCATACGGCTCATTGCAGACACTGTTCTATGCAAACACCTCGATACACTGGACTGGTGTACTCCGTGGAGATCGCCCATTTCGAGCAAAAAGCCACCCTTACTTAAAAAGCGCATTGTTAAAAGAAACTGTGTCTCTGGGGTGAGGGCATGTGATCTTTTTGTGGGGTGCTCGATTAATGGACGTACTTTGTGTAGTAACTGGAACAGCGACAAACGAGGCATTCTGTATCGAGCATACAGTATCTCGTCACTCAGAATGTCGAGCTGATTAGTTCTGTCTCTGAAAACCCGTTCTCTCCTTAAAAATCTGTCGTATTCTTTACAAAATAGAACTGTACTCGCCATCTTGGTCGATTGTAAGACCTCTACAATTGGTCCGGAGCAATTGTAGGTTTCGATTGTAACTTACAATGATCTTAGCCTACAATTGCTTTGTGCAAGTGGATGGCGATTGTAGCCGAAGCCTAAGATCGTGATCTTAAGGATTTACAATAATTGTAGCGCTAAGATCGTTCTGTGCAAGTGGGCCCTGTACTTTCATTCTCGATGAAGTTGTCCTGTTCTTTTGTGTAGCACAAGGTAGTCACAAAGAGATCACATGATTCGTCAGATGCTGAACTTACATCATCTGGCGAATGGGCTTTGAGAAAGTCGTCAGCTTTGCTTTTGATGGAGAGTTTCAAACATTCTCCATTCAAGCATACTTGCATTTTCTCTTTCTCCAATTCTGCAGGATCCAGAAGAAGGCCAAGTGCTGATGCTGAGGGCTGTATCTGAAAACAGACAAATTTTGATATTTAACAGAAACTATGAAAACATTACACTGTTTCTTCAAATTTTACACTCAATAAGCAGTACAGCAGAAAGTAATTTCATGGGGTTTTAATTAGGAGATAAACATACTGTGTTGGAAAATCAGAGGTATATAACGAAATTATAATAGCTCTAAATTTGATTTAATACCGAACGCGTAGCGTGAGGTTTTAATTAAAAGAAATTAGAGCTATTATAATCACGTTATATACCTCTGATTTTCCAACACAGTACGTTTATCTCCATTCTACCATGACCGCGTTATTATGATTTTGCAAAAATACATACTGTGTTGGAAAATCAGAGGTATGTAACGTGATTATATACCTCTGAGGTACTTTAATTAACCAATTACAATCCAGTATTTACTGAAGTCATGGTAGAATTATCCTTTACTGGCATACAAAATGGGGAAAAGGTATTTGGAAAATTTTTTCTTCAGTTTAGATGTATTTGCTCCCCCATGCAATATTAACTTTAAAATTATTACACCTGTAGAACAAAGTACAAGTACTGTTAAACTTTGCAAAGTGAAAAAAACAATAAAATTTAACATAACCAAAATACTGGATAAATTCTAAATGCAAAAATGTTAATGCTGACATTTGCTGCAGATGTAATATGTCACAGTATCTGTCTGAGAAGAAACTTGTACACAGTAACTGTGAATATTTGACAAATTATTTCTCCTCTATATTTTACTGTTATTATTAGTTGTATTATTTTTAAGACACTTATTCTTAACATCATTTCCAAACACACACCATTCAGTGTATTTGTCTACTTTCTCACTATGACTACTTGGCTGTGGTAATTGATTTACAAGGAGAAGTGAGTGAAATAAAATCTGCAATGCATAACGTAATATACATGTATCAGCCATACAAATGCAATTTAACTGATTTAAATGAATACTCCTGGAATCCACTGAATGTCAAGCACTACAAAAGCAAATGATAATATTTATTATCACCAACATTCTGGATATGCACATCACACTTTCTTATGAACTTACCTGACTGATTGGATACGTAGCTTTTTTATGGGCACAGGTTCGTCATGCTCCATTGGCCTCTTCTTCCACAGGCAAGGTCCATCTGTGACCGATGGCTTCTCAAAGGACTCAAGTGCATAGAGTGCTGCAACCACATGGCGACATGCACCATCTGCACTGAAATATTAAACAAAATGATTTTTAGGAATAAGTCATACTTTGACAGTTGGCAACTAATTATGACATTTTCGATAACAATACTTTCTAACATATTACAATATGTCTGATCTTAAGAGCACTGTTACAAATTAGTAGTAAGTTCCAGACTTTCTGACACTAGGACAGATATCGTGTTAATTACTTTTTATGTACAAAGTACCAATGTGCATGGTATGTGAAATACATACATAAGGAAGATCTTAAAACCATGTTACAATTGAAATGCTAGATATCAGTTATAGACTCGATGATTTTCAAATACTGAAAATACTATTGCTATTGGCAATACATGTATTTGCTTCTCAGAAACATGCAGCAATTATAAGAAAGATATTAATACAATAACATATTGTATCATCAAATAAAAATACATGCAGTGAATAAGGATTCTGTTATAATATGTGCAAAACTTAAGATTATTGGGTAAACATAAGTAACCTGTTGTTAAAAACATGCTACATTTATATTGACAATACAAACACAAAACATTGAACATAAGACACTACATATAGGACTCTTGATGTGTTTGCGTTGGACCAGAATCGAACTGATGTCAAAATATTACTCTTAAGACTACCATTCAAAAGCTTCATTACATCTTTTTTCAATATCAACAATATACACTTTGAGAGTAATACAGAACAAGGGGCAGATAACTCTGTTCGTCACATAATTCAACAAATGAAAATATAATTGGAAACTGCTGTTATTGACATTTTAAGAACCTTTTTATTCTGTTGATGTGCTAGAAGTGCTTGTCCCACCTGAAAATAGACAAAGAAATTATTTGCAAATGTTCACAACAATTGACAACACATATAAATGAGACATTGATTAAAAACACATGTAATTATTGACATATGAATGACAGAGCAGGGTGAAACATTGAAAAATGCAATATACCCCTAATGTCAAACAGAATCATGATAACGAAACTGGGTATTAAACCCAAAAATCATAGCCCTGCTCAGATTGTCTTTATATAGATCTGTCCTAATTTACAAAATTTACTGATTATTTTATTCTTGTTACAGTCCCCTATGGATGATGAAGTATTAACAGCAATAAGAACAAGAAAAAGATTTCCATCTCTTTTACACTGACTGACTGAGTTTGGTTTTACGCCGCCTTTAGCAATATTCCAGCAACATCACGGCGGGGGACACCAGAAATGGGCTTCACACATTGTACCCATGTGGGGATTCGAACCTGGGTCTTCGGCGTGAAGAGCCAACGCTTTAACCATTAGGCTACCCCACCGCCCCCCATCTCTTTTACATTAATGGCAATCTCAATGATTTATTGATCAGACAAGAAACTAACAATGGGTGAGTGATTTTAGTTATATGCCGCACTCAGCAATATTCCAGCTATATGGCGGTGGTCTGTAAACAATCCTACTGTGGACCAGACAATCCAGTGATCAACAGCATGAGCATCGGTCATAGCAATTTGGAACCGATTACATGTGTCAACCAACTCAGCGAGCCTGATTGTTGGCGTTTTAACTCAAGAATACCTGCAAAGAGTAAAAATTCGCTTAAAATACCTGACAAGTAACACGTATCTAGGATAAACATGTCGGCCATCTTGGCCACAAGGGCTGAGTTTTCAACTTTTATTTATCGTGTATTTGCGCCGCTTTAACGCTTCAACTGTAGTCATGGATGGTTTTAATCGTTTGTCTCTACATCCAACTTGCGTTTGCCATCAAATATACATGCTGACAATGGTTATATTTATGTATATACATTTACGAATGTCTCAATGAAGGACACTCACCTCGGTCTGTGTCTGTCCGACTGCACAATCGCGGCAAATATTCAACCTGAAGGGTGCTTCTCACTATATATTAGACATGGCTTCTTTTCCCGGATTAACTGCACTTGAGGTTTTTGTTTGCTCTCAGGTTTTACTTTTTGTGAGTAAGCCCTATTTCCCGGTTTTACTTTTGTAAGTAAGACCTCTTCCCAGGTTTTACTTTTTCCTAATTCTATATTAATATCAACATTCAAATTATGTAAGTGTTTTGAAATCAACTGAAAAATATCATCTTAAATGTGCACATGTTTTCCGTAGCAGAATTGGAACCGTATATTTCAGATTCATAAGCGGACGCTCTACCTCACAGCCACCAGGCCGACAAAGAACGTGGATTGAATTATCTATTTATAGTTAGGCCTACTGTCATTCAATTGATTTTACTAGCGTTTCAGTTACTGTTATGTAACTTCATTACATGATCATCTAATTATCCATCATTGACGGTTTATATCTATAATAAAGCTCTCCTCCTCGGTTATGGTTGGGAAAGTAAGCCCTCGACCATCGGGTGGAGAGAAGTAAGACCTAGAGCGCTACGGGCTCTCGGTCTTACTTCTCCCCACCCTCCGGTCTCGGGTCTTACTTTCCCAACCATAACCTCGGAGTCGTGCTTTATCCTACCCGTAACTGGTTTCAGTGGGCACCAAACCGGACTCGAATGTATTTTCTACCTTCGCGTGTTGCGGAATTTTTTTTCAAATATCGTTAACGTTGTGATAATACACGTAACACAGAACCCATTCTGAAAACCAAAACCTGTTTCTATGTAAACACGCCACCAGGAGGCGTGATTTTACTTTCGGTGCGGCTCGAGCGTTAATAATAATAATAATAATAATAATAAGTCCATTTGTATAGCGCCCCATATCCAATCACCAAGTGGTTGCTCATGGCGCTAACTATATACATATTTACAATAGGAGTTCATTTAGATGTCATAGTGCTTCTTGAACAGGAAAGTTATTAAGTTAAACTTGAAGCTGGCTATTGAGGGGGATTCTTTGAGAGACACGTGCAGATTGTTCCAGAGGATAGCTGACAAGTAGGAAAAACGTCGGTGTCCATATGTCTTTAGACG